GATGGACATTGCAAAAGTTTTTACTTGAAAATATTTAATAGTCGTATATAAATTAAATTAATTAATAATTGCTAATCATAATCAAGTAAGTTTTAATCAAGTCTAAAAATAATAACTAATTTTTACAATTTAATTAATTAAACACTATATCTACGAAAGTTCATCTTGATAATATAAAATATTTAACACCATTTCTCAAAGACATTAATTGAACTTGCCATAAAATAATAAAAATAATTAATGTGCGTATTAATGATAATTTATGAACTAATAATTTTATGAACTTATAATGAAAACCCATTTATTAAAAATGTGAAAAAAAGGTAACAAATTGGTGGTGCCCCCAACTGTCGTGGGGCAGAACAATGAAATGGCTTCAGGATTTCTCAAAACCACGTGTAATGAAGGTTTTCAGATGTCTAAGTTCGCTGGAATATGTGATACCAGTGCTTTCTTTTTCCAATGCTAAGAACTAAATACTTGAAATAAACGAAGATGAAATATGTCAATGATCAATCCAAGGGTGGAAAACTATGAACCAAAATTTGGTTACGCCCTAATAGAATGAAAAACATTTGTAAGACTGCCGAAAAACTCAAATTCTTGATAGACTATGCTAATAATAGCTACTTACAGCAATAGAACAGTAATGAGCCAAATACTCTGGTAAAGAAGGAACCCCCTCTGGAGTTCCACAATAGTCAAAACCCTGCCCTAGATTTGGATGGTCAGACTGAAAGTCCAGGATATAAGCCTGAAAATAAATGAAGTAGCACAGCTAAAGTTATAATGCTGGAACCTAATGGTGATCATACATATGCTGAAGAAGAGAAATTCCCAACATACCAGGCACATATAAGCAACATCACACATTTGGTTTCCCACAGTGGATAGCTCCCAATCAAGAATGCCAATTACTCGGTCCTGCACCGTTAAAGACGAGACAGTCTTAAACATATATATACACCTCAACTTCAACTATAAACTTCCAAAAAACAAAGTTTATAGTGGGGTGCCAGACTACGTGAAGATTAAAAACTAATCTTCTTGGATGAACAAGCTAATACAAAAATGGATGGGTAGATATTCTAAGGAATACATTAATATAGAAGAAATAGCAAACCTCAGTGGGATGGAATATAAGATTATCAATTCGAAAATCTCCATGAACTAAGCCAGCTGTGACACCTGATGAATCTTCTGTAGGAATATGTAGCCGTAACCAATCAATCAGTGCAAACATTTTTGGATTTCCATCTACTTTACCCTCGCTGGTTGATGAAACATACTGTTTTGCCCACCTCTCAATCTAAGGAAAAAAGACAAACAGAACCCAAAAGCAGAAGCTTATGAGCAACATCTTATCTTACATTACTTGGTTTGGCTAACAACTTTGTTATGACCATTTCTTCTACCCTTCCGGTGAAACACCCTCACTAAATAATAATGTGGGGGTGTTCAAGATAACTCAAAGGATTCATAATATGGCATTAAACTTTCATCAACATGTCAATATTTCTATCAACATTTTCATACGTCAATAGGTTCAACATCAATATAAATAGTGAATCATCATTTTCGTTACATTGTAAAAAAATCGAAAAGGCATAGAAAATATCAACAAAATATTACTAATATAAACATAATACTAATAATAAGAATTTTGACACATTTAAAAAGAGTGAAATGCTTGTTTGTTAATTTAAATACTTTTTCTGAATTTCTTGATTTTTATAATTTTTCTACAAAACTTCATCAAGATCAACATTTTATTGATATTTCCATGGACATTACCATAAAATTGAGCCCTCATCATTTTTGTCAACGTCGACCTTTAAAACCTTGCAGATAATCCGTAATAACAACATAAATACTTTGGGCACACCTGTCGCTTACAGTAATTTTCTGGACGCCCGTATTTTCCTAGACCAATGGAGTTTACATCAACTGAATGTAGAGAGGCTAAAGCTTTCGCAGCTTCTAAATATATTGCCCTCCTCGTTTCAGGAGCAACTCCCTAGTGCAATAGTATTCAATCCATCAGAAGAAAGTCAATAACTAGTAAAACTTCACAAAGTTACTCGACGTACCGACAATTTGGGGTCTATAAATATGCGTCCATCCAAGTACTCCATAACATAAAATGGAGTACCAATTATGCTATGATCAGAACACAGGCAGAAAACTTTAGGAACTGGAACCTGTGTGTTAACGCCTAATGCTCGAAGAACCTATCACATCAGAAATTGAAAATGAAACTTAAAGCCTGAAAAAATTATCATACCCACTGCAATTTACAAGAAACGAAACTGACAGAAAGCATCACTTTCTTCCTAATCAAGATATATAACTAAGCACCTGAAACTCCCTCTCAACAGCATGAGCAGACTCGAGCAACATCCCCGGAGGTTTCTTTCTCAAAACATACCGCTTCGGAGAACCTCCGGAACTAACTTCGATGAGATAAGTCGGGTTTGACTGACCATGTCCGAACTAAACTCCAAAAAATGAAAAGAGAAGCACAAAATCAATCCACACCAGTACACCAACGATCAAATCAGCAGGGAGGGGGGAAGAAGATGAAGTACCTGAGAGACAGTGAAATTAGATGGGGAGGGAGGGAAGGCAGGAACGTTGGCGGAGCAGTAGCGGAGCAAGGCATCGAGGTCAAGCTCATGAGCCGGACGAACATGGCCGAGCAGATCAAATGTGCGCTTCGCCATCTTTCCGGAATCAGGTGAAGGATTGAAGGGGAACAAGAATGGGAAGAAATTACTAAGCGAAATTGGATCGAGAAGGGTTTTTGCAGAATCTGCAGGCCATGAGATTCGATTGGATAGTTCGAATGGAAGAACGAACACACAAATCAAGAAAGGGAAGAAATATACTTTAATCGTCCTTCCTCGGACGTGAAGTTCGGCAAAAGTTTGACGGTTTTGCCAGTTTAGTATGAAAGAGAGATTTTAATAAATTATTTTGATAACAATCTTTTTTAGCGAGGGTGGATGTGGATGATTCGAACACGAAATAAATGATGGGTCTTATTAGTTAAAATTCACTCTTGACCCGTGATACGATTGTCTAAAAGAAGTTTTATGTATTGAGTTTGATGAACTCCAATCCAACATCCAAAATCAGAAATAAAAAAAACAAATTTAGAATATTTAAAACGTAAACAGCAGAAAATTGGTTATCGAAAACAATGGTGAAAAGGCGAGTGAATTGGAACCGGGCTGCCAAAGACGGTAACGACAAAAAAATGGAGAACGTTAAGAAGACGAGAGACGACCTACAGAAACCATGGTGAAAAGCAAGAGGAAAAAAAATATTAATGAAAAAGAGAGAAATAACTAAAAATTATGAATTTTTTTTTAGGGGAGTGGAAAGGTGCATGAGATTTAAAATGTAAACTTCAAATCAATCAATTTTCCATTTTTAATTTCCATATCTTAATAATAATTACATCTACATAAAAAAATGGTATGCTCCATCTTTAAAGGATGTATTTTAACACAAAAATGTAAATTTTGTAGAATGTCATCTCTGATAGGTTTATCAATGTACTAATCCGTTATAAATTTTAAACAATATAAACTAAATTGAAATTAATCTTAAATAATAGAGATAAAATTGATACTTTTAAAATGATAGGGAATAAATTTTAATTACTTCTAGGAGACAAATTTATGACTTAGTCTATTGACTGGCGTTTTGCTGAACGCACGCACTAAGCGTGGTAACAATTATATAGATGCAAGCGCACACCTGTCAGAGTAATATAAAATGGATGGAGTATCCAAGTATCGATCCTCAAGGACTTCTAAATAATTTCCAAACTCTAAAGTTTTAAAGAATAGTGAATGTTGAAATGAGTGATTCTTGTAAAATGAGAAGTGGTCACAAATAATGGTTTTGGATTTGGGATTTGGACTTATAATGATAAAACCTAGCCCGAATTACTTCAAGTTAGCCAACAAAGAATCAAGGATATGCTAAGGACGATATGCATTTTACTTTAGGAACCAACGACTACGCTTTTCACTTGACTTATGTCTAAGCAAGTTCAAAGTCCTAAGATATTCCCTAATATGTCTATTATGAGAGATATCTTAGTTTTAGGATGGAAATAGTCGCAACCTCGGGTTAAGGTCCTATGTCTAGGCTACTTAAGCGGAACCCTTATGTCTAAGGCGCTCCTCTCCTCGATTTAACCACTCAACAATGCAAATAAGCAACCTTTTTAGTATTGACTTGTTAAGACGTACAGTGGCCTTCTCTAAATCCTAACTTTTTGGGAAAACATGTTGAGCAATGAATGGAAAGCAAAAACACTACTTCTTAGCAACCCTTATTAGAAATAAAAGGCTAACTATCCATAACCGGGCTAGAGACGGGAATTTAGAAAGACATATTGAAGAAAATACAGCAAGTAAAATGGTTGAATGTAGAATGCATGTGTGAAAAACAAAAGTTAAC